AGAGATGACAATGAAGAAATTGACAACTGGCACGAGCAACAAAACATCCAACTAAAACATTAAAGCGAACTTTTGACTTTATTGGAAGAACACCGTATACAAAAAGAAATTATATAAAAAAAGGATGATTCACGAAGAGCTCACTCGAGTAAAAGAAAAACTAAATTAACGAAAACAAGAAACAACTCAAAACATACAAATTGCAATTACAGATGGTTTAAATTCCAAAACTTCCTAAACAACAAATTTTAAAACTTGATGGAACCATTTTTGATTAAATGCAGTTCTGGGAATAATTCAACATGGATATTGATAACACATGAATAAAAATGATAACTTCTGTAATAAAATTTTCCTATCTATGTAAACTACTGTCATGCACACCAAAAAAGGAAATTGCTTGACATCCTTTTAATGTAGATGGTTATTAAAAAGCAAAAAATGTCCTTGAATCAAAAGTATGGAATCACTTCTGAAACTACACGACAACATGGGCGTGATATCACGGATCTTCCCTTTATTAAAAATAAACACGTAAATCAAATACACAACTTCTACAGTAACTTAAATGTAAGCATAAATACTTTGAAAACCTTAAACAAAATGGGAACGGTAGAAATACTGGTACGTGAAACTCTGGACAATCTTAGACCTGTTAAAGCTGATATTACTTGCATGAATCCAAAATGGCAGGAATTGGATTTTAAAGAGCTAATTGAAGCTCTACATGATTATACACAGCCTAACCAAGAATCATTGATTGGTCAACCAAGTAACATTCCAAAAAAAGAAAATGAAAGTACAAGAACTCACAATAATTGGAATTTAATAATTATGGCTAAAAAATAATGACGGTGTCTACTGCAGTTTGCAAAATCATCACAGACTTGAATGTACGAAACTTCATTTAACACAGCAAAGGGAACAGTTTATTAAAGAAAACCATCGATGTTTCAACTGCTCGTCAACAAACCACACAGTATCCAACTATTGAAGAAAACATTCTTGCTACCGTTGTCAAGGAAGACACCATTCTTCTATATGCGCAGGTGTAAAAAAAGAGGAATCAGAAAAAGGTATTCTGATGGTTGGAATTGAAGGACAAACTATTCATCCAACGATTGTTATGAATGCTGGTAAACATCAAGTGAGAGCATTCTTGGACGTGTTCAATAATGCTCTCACATTATGCTTACCCGTGGAGTTGGTTTCTCTTACGAATTTGGAGTTGGTAGCTCTTACGAAGACTCCCGTGGAGTTGGTAGCTCTTACGAATCATCTAAGCTAATCAATTACCTTAAATTAGAGCCAATAAAATGGGAACTGAAAATTATTGAAACAATGACTGGATCAGTCCACCGAAATCTCCCGCTGTTCTGCACGACTATACATTCAATAAACGGTCAGCCTTGACAAAAAGCTTTACAAGTTGGAGCGGACTGTAATTATAGTACAACAAAATCCAACGATATCCGTCCTAATTAAATTTTTTAATAAAGATAGCTATAATGATCATAAAAATCATCTTATGATTGGTGCAGGCGGTATTGTAAGAATAATGTTGAATGCTTCAGAATGGGGAATGATTGAAAAACAATTGCCAAAGTAAATAAATTTGGATGGACGGTTATGGGACCTAGACAAAGCACTTTAGATTGTTTATATTTTACAAAGTCAACCAAAGGCTGCTACAAGTAACTATAAAGCTGGAATATACTTGGTCTAAAGGACCAACGAGAAGAAATTCAAAGTGAATCTAACTTAGTCAGTTGACATCAAAATAAGAAAAGTTTTAATTCTTGACAGACATAAAGTATTTCAAAGAGATCTCGTTAAGGTGTCTGCATTCCTTTCGTAATTATTATGATCCCAAAAAGATTTCAAAAACATTTATATTTGTGAAATCATGCATAATTTAGAATTATTAAAAGTCGCGGCTTTTGAGTTAAGAAATATTGGAAAATGGTCAAATATGTCCGATTTTAAAAAACCTCATTGACTGTTTCCGATTTTAAAAAACCTTATTGTTAAAGATATCAATTGTTATAGTATTGTCAATTAGAAAAATATAGTTTTTTGTTTCCTTGTTGGAAGATTAATAAAGGGAACAGCTCCATTTTCAAAAATTTAAAAGTAGAAAGTTTTAGTTGTAGCATGATTGACCACCCGGTAGTTTAGCACACCCTCCTACATAAGATGAGGATATCTGGTTACCCTATTCGTAGATAACTTTAACAGCTGTGGCGTTGTGGTTATCCTGGATCTCTTGCTTCTAAAGCAAACGCTTTAGAACCAAGAGATTCAGTTTCAAAGCTCTGGACATATTTCGCGCCATCGGAAAGGAAGGAGGCGTGAACTTTCTAGTTGAATGCGTGGTGCTCTGTGACTAGACCGTTAGGTCTTCTTGGAACACCTAAAAAAAAAAAAAATATAAAAAAAAAAAATAGTTATAATAACTTTGTATTTTGATTACCATAAAAAAATTGTTTGTTTATTTTATTTATATTCTATTTTCCATTATTTAACTTTAATGTAGTAAATAAAAACCATAGCTCATAAAAAAACGCGTTCATATAATAAAATATACATGTTATGATAAAGAAGTAGCAAGAAGCAGGTTTAGAACAAAACTGTATCACACTAAAACTATTCTATAATTTGTTGTATTAGCAGAATAAAAATATTATATTAAATGTTCATTTTATTCACTAACCTCAACGCTTTACAAATTTATAAAAAACTTTGCAAATGTAAAAATAAAAAAAATTTGCAAATGTAAAAATAAAAAAAAGTTATGTAAAGATGTCAACAGATTTAACTCAAATACAAAATCTAATTGTGATTTTTACAATAAACGATCTCATGTCTTTCTCATTTTTCTTTCATAAAATTTCAATGTTTTCATGGTTTTCATTTTTTATGTCTTTTTTAAATCATATATTCTGTTTATCTTTTTAAACCGTCTTATTTCTATTATTTCCAAATTAAGTTTAGCTTTAAACAAATATATTTTGCATGTTTTTCCTTAAAAAAAAAGGTTATGCATTACACATTTTCTATCATTATGCATTACGCAATTACTATAATTTAACAAAACACACAACTTTAGAGTTTAAAAACAATAAATAACTTTTAAATAAAATAACAGTTAAACTAATTTGACCTTATGAATTAAAATTAAAGAAAGTCACTAAAGTTAAAATTAAAGAAAGTTAGTTACTAAAGTTAAAATTAAAGAAAGTTAGTTACTACTAATAATACTTCAGTTTGATTCAGTGCTGGATTAATCTTTAAGCAAGACTAGGCCATGGCCTATGGTCCCCTAAAATTGGATGTTTTAAAATCTTATTTTTTTAATTTAATTAATATTTAGACAAGTTTTACTGTCAATTATTCAATAATTATTCAATAATTATTCAATAATGCAAACAGTTTTTATTATTCTGCTTCATTATTTAAATATTTCTATAATATATGTCATGTTAACTACAAATTCATAAAATTTTATTTTAAGTTGAGACTATTTATAATTTACTTACTCGACGTCGCTCAAATGTTTTGATATTCGTTCCTTAGATACAAATTTTATAATGGGTTAGGTTTTATTTATTTTTATTATTTAATGCTTTTAATAAATGTCAAAAAATAAAAAAAGTGAACGTTAAAAGCGTAGTTAAAAAACTTTTTAAAAAAGGTAAAAAAAAATTTTACACAATAAAATAATGAAAAACATGTCTATAAAACTGTGGAAACATGTGCGGATCTACTTTAAATTGATACATTTGAAATCGAAAAAAAGATGACGAACATTTTATTTTATACGGCTGATTTTTATCAAAATCTTTTATGAAGAGCAATTTAGTAAAAATCGCTACTTTGAAAAATTGAAAATATTGCAAATTAGATTATAACTGTTAAAATATTTTTATTAAACTTTTTTTTATGTAATAGCCTATTGAACGATTAATGTAATAAAAACAAACAATTAAACTAATCTTGAATTTTAATATTTTCCAAGTAAAAAATATTAAAATTCACACAAGACGAATTCTAGGCATCTATAACAGGGCCGACGACACGGGTTTCGAAATGAGACGGGGGGAGTCGGGGCACAACCTTGAATTCTTAAAAAAAGTCTTTTAAATCAAGAGTTTTCTAAAAAAAAAGTGAGAGACATGGGAAAGCTAGGTACCCCCCCCATCCCTGTGTCGTCGGCCGTATATAAAGCATATTTCAGACATCTTGTGTCTACTCAGCTATTGTAATATAACCAAGGCCTATCGTCATTTCAGCAAAATTATTTCAACTAATAAAAAGTTGTGACATTAAATCTCAAACTTCCAATGCACACCGGAAAAAGTTATTGGACGCTAATCTCAAAAGTCACGTTATGCTTGCAAGCATACAGTGGCCTAGCGAGGGTCATTAACGCCAAAATAGCAAAAATAACAAAAAAAAAAAAAAAAAAAAAAAAGTCAATTTATAAAAAAACAAGATTTAATTAATTTTTTTCCAAGATTCATTAATTTTGTTTGCATACGCCTAAAAACTTTTTAGCTGTTTTAAAACTTGTAACTTGCTTTCGTTCCAACAATACTAATTCAATATATTAACAATTATTTTCATATTATTCTGTTATTTTGTTACTTTAACTTATGTCTTTCTATTGTTTTATTAGTTTAATTTATGTCTCCCTATTGTTTCGCTAGTTTAATTTGTCTTCCTTTTGTTTCGTTAGTTTAATTTATGTCTTTCTATTGTTTCGCTTGTTTAATTTATGTCTTTCTATTGTTTCGTTAGTTTAATTTATGTCTTTCTATTGTTTCGCTAGATTAATTTATGTCTTTCTATTGTTTCGTTAGTTTAATTTATGTCTTTCTATTGTTTCACTAGATTAATTTATGTCTTTCTATTGTTTAGTTAGTTTAATTTGTCTTTCTATTATTTTTAACTTAACTACACAATTGCAAATTGTACAAAAAAAATATTTGACAAACAAGTTTAACAAAATTTTTTTTATTACAAATAAAACAGTAACAGTACAATTTTAATTTACAGGAGTAATAATACGGTATGTATGCTCTATTTTGTCACAAGAAACTCGTTCAAGTTTAGTAAAGTAATCATCAAGTTTTTCTTGCAGTTCTTCATATAACTAAAAAAGAAAAAAAATTTAAGTTTAGGAAACAACTTTTTTTTTTGGAAGCGAACATTTTTATATAGATTAAATAACTTTGAATTTGTTTTTAAGCAAATTGAAAAAAAAAAAAATAATAAAAAACACTTTTCCTCAAAGAAAAACGAGTTTAATGTACGTAAAAATAAAAAAACTAGGTAATTAAATTGATAACTAAACGACGATAAAAGTATTAATTAAATATACGTAAGTGGTTTAGATCTGGCGGAAGATTTTATGCGTGCTAGGAGACCTAGTGACGTTATAATAATCGATGTTGTTAACCGGAAAAACTACAATGAATGAAGTTTAAAACTTGGCTTTTTATTTTTCAATCTCAATCTTTCATTTTGTGTTTTTTTTTTTTAAAACTCTCTATTTATTCGGTAAAACTTTATTGGTCTTTATCGTTATTAACCTAAACCATTAGTTAGTCTTTGTTATTAAACTTTGCCGGGATTTATTAGCCGATAAAGCAAGGATTATTAAATTTTGATAAAAATAAAAATAAATTGCGACTAACAACACTTATGTTAAAGGTTTTAAAGTATAAAATTTCGAAAAATATATTGCTGGAAATATCAATACCTAAAAAAATATTAATAATATTACTAGATAAATTTCGAAAAATATAAAAGTTCATTTTTGCGGCCATTAAATGAAATAATCGATAAATTTTTTTTTGAAAAAGCAATATATTAACAATAGTCACTTGGAAAGCTTCTTGATTTTCGTAATTATCTTTTAAAGCAGCAAGAAGTTGATCAAATGACGAATAAGGAAGCCACACAGCAGGTGTTGTGCCATGAAGTGCAGTCTAAGATAAAGAAATTTACTAATATTACAAAATTTTCTGCTTGCAAATAGTATTATATTTCAAAAAAAAATTAGTAGAAAGTGACTAAGATGTTATGCGATATTCTACTAATTTATATATATATATATATATATATATATATATATATATATATATATATATACACACACACATATACATACATATATATATATATATATATATATATATATATATATATATATATATATATATATATATATATATATATATATATACATATATATATACATATATATATATATATATATATATATATATATATATATATATATATATATATATATATATATATATATATATATATATATATATATATATATATATATATATATATATATATATATATATACCAACGCACACGTATAGTTAACAGGATGTTATTCCTGCACAAGAAATGATTCAAATACCTTTTAGTTATAAATATTTTTAGAAATTGTTTTAATACGATTAATCTATTTATTTCAGAAAATAAAGAAATCATACGAAAACATCATTAAGAAACGCTTTTTTTGAATGAACTTTTAATTGAAAAACGTAATTATTATTTGACACATAAAATAATCTCGGCACCATTTTTTTTTTTTTTAGAGAAGATACGTAAATCGAAAAGTTATCATAGCAGCATTAAAAACAAAAACAAAAAATACATTTAATCCCAAGTGTTCTTTACATTCGCCAAGTACAGCATTTATATACTTCACTGCCAGCTGTGTCGCTTCATTAATCATGTCATAACACAAGTATAAATGGAGTAGCTCTGCCGGGTTGGCTAACTATTTAAAAAAAGTTAAAAAAAGAAATTAAAATTGATTAATAAAATTAATAAATAGATATAATTAAAATTAATTTAGAAAAAATGACCAGTAATAACTGGTCATTTGTTTTAAATATACGTAACAAACTTGACACTCATAACAAAAGAAATAAAAAACATAAATAAAAAAATATAAAGTTACACCATTTAAACTTTATTTTCATTTTCATAACTTACACTATAAAATAAAAAATGAAATTAATGAATTTAAAATTAGTATAAGATAGTATAAGATTTACTGTATAAAAGCATACATTTGAAAAAAAAAATGGAAAAAAGCTTGTATTTAAAACAGAAAGATATAATAACTTAACTGTTACTTTTTATTTAACAAAAAACATTTTAAAAGTTACCAACTTACTACAAAAGTTACAAACTTACTACAAAAGTTACCAACTTACTACAAAAGTTATTACACTAGTTTTGACATATTTGTGAAGTTTCACTAGCCTTTAAATATTAGAAGATAGAATGTATAAGTTTCAACAGCCTTTAAATATCAGAAGATAGAATGTATAAGCTTCAATAGTCTTTAAATATTAGAAGATAGAATGTATAAGTTAAAACGAACTATATTAAATTTCACCAAAGATAATAAAGACTAAATTAAGATGAAAAAATAATAAAAAATAAAAATGCAATAATAGACCTTTTCGCGGTTGCAAAATGCGTTTTGGGTAACCAGGGCAAACAAACAACAAAGTTAGTTTGATTTAGTGAAGGAAAGCTGAAGATTTTCTGCTTATTTTTTATTTGCTAGTACTCAAATTTTTACTTTTGTGTTTTATACTTTGAATTTTTTATTGATATAGATAAATAAAATATAAATTTAAAATGCCAAACTACTGCTGCTGTGTTGCTGGTTGTAATAACGACTCCAGGTATCCAGATAGGTTATTTAAAAGAACTCAAGTAACAGAGCTAAAATTTCACTACTTTCCTAAAGATTCTTTGAAAAGACAGCATTGGGTAAATCAAGTTATAAAATGTTTAATAAATTTCACAGTTTCTGATAATAAAGTGGTTTGCTCTAATCATTTTGAGTTTGGAAAGCCTACTTTTGCTTCGCCTAATCCAACTTTATACATGAATATTCGTAAAACAAAAAAAGAATCTCCTACAAAACGAAGAAAACTTAAACAATTTGATGTCATATTAGAATCAGAAGCAAACAGTTCATCAACAAGTTTAACTTTAGAAAATGAACACTGTGATAAATCTATTCAGTGTAATGAATCAATACAACAATCAATAATTTTTGCTGAATTAACCAAAGATTCTGATGTTCAGTTTTTTACAGGTCTTGCAAATTAAAATGCCTTTGAAATATTGTTTTCTTACTTACAAAGAAAAGTAAATGTAATGCACTTGGAAAGGTAGTAAAAATACAAATAAAAGCTTATCTTTGCCAAGGGATTTAAAAACAATAACATTAAAATCTCTAACATTGCAGCAGGAGTTTCTTCTTGTAATGATGCATTTACGTTTAGGTCTTTTAACTGAAAATCTTGCTCATCATTTCATGGTATTTATTTCTGTGGTGAGTTCAATATTTATAACTTGGATAAAACTTCTTTCTCTTGAATTAAAATGGGTTATACATTTTCCTGACAGAAATAATATAAAAAAAAATTTACCAACAATGTTCAGGAAACACTACCCAAAATGCTCGATAATAATTAATTATAGTGAGCTTTTTAACAAAACACCATCAAGTTTGGATACTGCTGCAAGTTGATGGTCAAATTATAAACATCATACTGTAAAATATTTGGTTGGAATAACACCAAATAGTGCAAATTCTTTTTCATCAAATTGTTATGGCAGAAGAGCTAGCGATGTTTTTATTGTTAAAGATTGTGCAATTTTAAAATGCTTACAACCTGGAGATCAAGTTATAGCAGATAGAGGTTTTAAAATAAAAGAACTACTAGCTTATTACCAGTGCAATTTAGCTATTCATCCATCAAAACACACAAATTTGCAAATGACATCTAATGATGTACAAGAAACCTCAAAAATTACAAATGTTCGAATTTATGTAGAACAAGCCATAGGGCGTATGAAGAACTTTTGCATATTAAAAAATGAATTACCAGTCACACTGTTACCATTATGCAACAATATTATTACTGTGTGTGCTGTATTAACAAACTTGATGCCCCCCTATGTATTGATGAAAACAAAGCATAAGATTTAAAAAAAAAGATTGCTGCCCCATCCCAAAATCCTCAGCTTATGTAGTAGCACTCCACTGCGAGTCAGGCTATTTGTCAGTCGATGTATTTACTGAAGCCCCCTAGTACCAGGCTATTTCAGTATGACATCACACTGCTCACCTAAATTAGCAGTATAAGATATATATGCATTTGAATTAGCTAGGCCTGTATAAACTGAATATCAGAATCTCTAGTTAAATTGGTAAAACTCATTGATATATATATATATATATATATATATATATATATATATATATACATACACACATATAAATGAGTTTTACCAATTTACTATAATTTAAAGATACTATTTATTTTTGTACATGCCTGTATTGTTTTTTTTTCATATTGATGTTTCTAAATTTTTATTTCTTACTTTTATAAATACACTACTAAAACTAAATATAGCCTTTATTATTTCTTACTTTTTTCCTATTTTTATTGTTTACTTTTTACTCATTTAAGCATAGCTTATTGCACAATGGGCATGTATACAGTTGTATAAATCCAAGTAGGTAACGTTGCACATATGTTTTAAAAAACAGAATTAAGCTTGGAAACACACTTTGCCAATGTTCTTCATCGAATGTGATTTTATTTACTAACATACCTTTTTCGTGTATAGACTACGAAATACGCGGATTTATAACCAGTGATTGCCATTTTGTCAATTATTTGGGTGTAATATTTGTGATTTCTTTTAAGCACTACTTTGCCATCAACCATTTCCAAAAAATTTCTTTTTTTCCATGAAACGCTTATATCTTTGTCCCAAATACTGAAAGGACATTTGTATTCTACACAGGGTTTTAGGCAATAACGGCATTGAAAAATGTAGTCCGGAGATGCACCAAGATTAGCTTAGGATTTGGATGTTTTATGCCCTCAGTTGACATAAATGCTTTAGCAGCATTTTTCTTGTTTTCTTTACCCTAGTTTAGAGGTGCAACATTCTCTAATTCAACAGGATCGACAATAGCCTTAAGAAGTGGTGCAACTTTGCATTTAACATCTTTATCATGGTTTAGAAGAGATGTAACCTTTTGGTGAATGGAATAAAAAGGATAATGTTATTCTTCGTCTGCATTGTTCCCACCATTGGTTTGAGTGTGATTGATTTCTTGTAGCTTTTTCTAATTCTTGAAGTTGATTGTTGTTAAATGTCAGCATACAAAGAAATCTATCAGTCACGCAGTTTATCTCTGTTAGAAAACAACTACGTGCTGCTGAAGCAATTTCTGTTATTGGAAGTGGCACATCATTATCTGGTAGAGGGGTAAACATTGTATTTAGAGCGTTAGAAAGAACTTCCTTGATATTTAATAAAATTTTCTTTTTTTTTTCAACTTCCATAATTTCACGGATTTCTTCTGGTTTTGGATCAAAATAACTTTTTTCTTTGTAAATCAAAAGATTTTTCTGCAATTTACCACTTTTATGTTTAACAATATTCATATCTCTCACCATACTTGGTTGAATTTCTTTGGACGGAGTGTTCCAGCTGCAAATATTATCAGTACAAATAGGGTTCGTTATGTCTTTAGTGTTCGCATATTCTATTTTATAAAGTACCGCAACAACATGATTGCAACAATTACTTAGTCCTGCGGTACACGTGCAAAACGCTGTGCAAATGGTGCCATTCACATTAAACAAAATCCAAAGTTGATGGGATTTTTCTCATATATGTTGAGAAGGAGAGACCAATGAACGTATCATAATATAATTGTTCATTTGCTAAACAACTTGCCAACAAAACCACTTCCAAAGTATGATTATGCTTTTTTAAGTTTGTACTGACCAATGTATTCAGTTTTAAATGCTTTGCTTTCAATGATAAAAGCAAATATTTGTCCAACATTTATAACAAGCCATTTTCGCATATCGTCTATAAAATCATTTGCTTTCAATGGGTCGAAATCTATTTTAAATGATTTCAGTAGATTTGCATAGTCACTATTTAATTTATTGCAAATATTTTCAGTACTTGGTACAACTTTAATTTTTTGCTCATATGCCATTAGAGCTGTAGCAGCTAGGGAGCTATGATTGCCGGAAATTGTAAAACTATGCTGTTTGAGATAAAACTGCAGCTCTCCTTTTGACATTTCCAAAAGATTTTCTAGAGTTTCTACTTTTATTTCATTTTTAGTTAGCGTATCCATATCCATTTTTTATTTGAGCGCGTTGAAAGTTTTTAATTATATTTTGATTTGTTTTGTTTAAAGGGATCCCTAAGTGCTATAAAGATATGACCTCATATGAAAGAGCATAAAAAAAAAAAAAAATGTTTGATGTATATTATTTTTTCTAAAACCTAATAATGAACACACACTAACAAATTTAATTTTTAAAAAAACGCTTTTCTTCGATTAAAAAAAATGCGTCTTGTTCAAAGTTTATTGACTCTATTGCCTCAAAAAACTAAGGTTTGTACGTCAAATTAAACAAAGTAGACAAAATGTCATTATTGCAAACGTATTAGTTGGTAATTAAATTTAAAAGTAAAGTCATTTTTTTTTAACTAACACATAACTACTTACAAGAATAAGTTTTGTAGCATTTTGTGAAAATATATTTGTATATTAAAATTTTTTTAATAATTTTTATTTATATATTTGTGTTATAAGGGCAATTCCACGGCCAAAAATGAATAGAAGTCAAATTTTAAACTCTTTTTAGTCAGTTTTTAACAAATGAATATTGATGTAGACACATGAAAGTTTATTTAAAATGTTTC